CATGCAATGCAATTCTGTAGCAATTATGTTGGCTGCAAAGAAGATATCAGAGATGTAGCCATGGGAGATTATTTTCCCCAAAATCTCTTTTAAAAATTTAGACACATATAAACAATGATAAAAACTAAACCAATATCTGTTAATACTCTAGGGACAGTAAAACTCAACCAACTATAAAGTGGCTTAGTATACTAACTCAAGTTAGCTGTATACTAATATTTGTGTCATCACGTATACCATCTGCCTTAGTCCATCTTGTGTTGCAGCAAAATATCCAAGCCTGAGTACTTTATAAAGAAAGGAGGCTCATTTAGCTCATAGTTCTGAAGGTTCGAGAGCATCTGCTTGGTCTGGTGAGAGCCTTGGGGAAGATGCCATCACAATGGCAGGGGTGCGTGTGGAACACAGATTTGGTGGAGATGCTAAGCTCTCTTACAACAACACATTCCCATGAGAAGTAAACCAAGTGCTGTAAAACCTGCATTAATCCCCTCTGAGGGTGATGCCCATGACCTAATCGCCTTCCAGGAAGCCCTCCCTGTTAAAGGTCCCACCATCTCTATACCACCACACTGTGGGGACCAAGCTTTCAGCACACAAACCTTGGGGGGTAAATCATATCTAAACCACAGCACTATCGAAACATCAAACAAGTGCTTGTAGGGAGGGCCCACAAAAATTGCCAAGCACTGAATTACCTTCAGTTCATTTGCCTTTCTCCTCATTGTTCTGAATGAGAACAGAAATTACACTGTAGAATTCCAAATCAACTGTGATTGACAGAAAAAAGAACAACATCTTTAATTGCTCTCAAAACAATAGATACTTCCTGTTATGGTTTGTGTTTAGATGTTCCCCACAGCCTCACGTGGAGGAAGTGGAGCTTTCTTTTTCAGAGGTAGTTGAATTTGGAATGTGTGATGCTGGGGTGAAGGGTGTGTGATTACTAAACCACTACGTGTAAGTGATTAGTTTGGCACCCCCCTTATCCTGGTAGTCTGAATAAGATGAAAGGGGCAGAAAGATGCAGTTAAAATTCCCTTGTTACTATTGTTGCCTTATGCACGCCATGTTGTTTCTCCTCTGCAGTGTCTGTTTGCCATCCCTGTCTTGGAGCCAGCCAACTATGGACTGAAACCTCTACGAAGTTTAAGCCCAATAAACCCCTTCCCTTTTAACTTTGGATGTCGGGTATTTGGTCTCAGCAACAAGAGAAAAGTAACTAACACACTTCCACAATAGACAAGTAATTCAACAAATTCATATTTAAGGCAGAGAAGTGGCAGAATATGTAGATATCTTGGGGTTATTTGTTTAGTCACCATGACTTGTTCATGTCCCACTGCTCAGTGCGACATTTCGAATTTTTTGCATTAGCTTCAGAAGGTAGAAAGCCCACATTTCTCTCCCTTATGTTAGAAAACCAGTCCATTTCACCTGCTTTGCCTTTTCTATATACACCTGCTTGCCTTTTTGCTTCCCACTGTGAGTACAAGCAGTATGAGTCCCTCAGCAAATGCCAGCACCTTGCTTTTAGACTTGCTAGCCTCTGCAAGTGTGGACCAAAATAAACCTCATTCCTTAATAAGCTCCTCAGTCTCAAGAATTGTGTTACAATGACAGAAAACAAAGACAGAAGTGTGTCTTCACTTCACTGTTACTTCCCAGCAGAACTCTTGCAGACCTGAACACCTGTTCCTGCAGTGTTTCCAAACTGAACACTTTCTCAGAACTGCCTGCCCACACACACCAGTGATGTCTGAACATTGTCAAGAGAAAAGAGCCCACCAGCCAGCCAGCCCATCCCTGAACAAATTCACTGCCTACCTGTTTTGAGTGGGGAAAAGAAACCAAACTGGGTGGTCATCTTGATATGACCAATATTTTAATTTTATTTCTTTGAAATGTCTTTGCAAATTAATATCAGGCTTATACTGGCCTCACTGGGAAGTGTCCCCTTCTCCTCAGTTTCTAAAAGTATTGTTACCTTTTCTAGCTAACAGAGTTTACCAATGAAACCACCTGAGCCTGCAATTCCATCTGACAGGAGATTTTGATAGTTGTTTTAAATAGCTATAGGGCTAGTCAACTTTTTATTTCATCTTATGTCAATTCTGATAAGTTATTCAGAAAATGGAATGTGTACATTTCATTTAATTTTTGAATTTATTAACATAAAGTTCTTCATAATATCTGTCCTGATATTGGTAATTTCTCTCATTTTTTTCTTTATTACTCTATGTAGGGTTTATCAACTTTGTTGTGTTTTCCAAAGAAACTCCTTTTGTTTTATATGTATAAATTTTCTGTTTTGTGTTTCATTGATTTTTCCTCTTTATTTCCTTACCTTTGCTTACTTTGGATTTACTTTGCTCTTCTTTCTGGGTCTTACTGTAGAAAATTAGAATTACTGATTATACACTTTTCTTCATTCCTGACCTGTTAATATTGAAAAGCTATAAATCTCTTCATTTTTTAGCTTTATCCAACAAATCATTCAGTTTGAAATATTTTCTAGTGTGTCTTGTGTTTTTCTTTCTTTGACTCATGGATTAGGGAGAAGAGTGTTATTTATTTGAATGTTATTTCAAATATGTGGATTTTATCCCCCTCTAGAAATCTCATTAGTCTTGGTTTCTAGTTTAATTACACTGTGGTCACAAAACATAGTCTGTATTATTTCAATCCTTTCAAATATAGTGAGCCTTGTTTTATGTCCCAGTATATGGTTTACTTTGGTAAACATTACATGTGCACTTGAAAAGAATGTTTATTCTGTAATTGTTGGATCTAGTGTTCTGTAAATATCAGGCAAAGATTGATAGCATTATTTAGACCTTTTATCTGTTTGTTCTGTCAATTGCTGAGAAAGTGATTTTAAAATCTCCATCTATCATGGTGAATTGTCTCTTTCTCCTTTTAATTGTATTACTTTTTCACCTCATTTATTTTGAACCTCTTTTAAGAGGCACATATACATGTATGGTTCTTGTGTCTCTTTTAAAATTTATCCTCTTTATTATAGTATATCTGTCTTTATTTCTGATAATACTCAACTTGGCATCTATTCCATCTGACACTAATATGGCCAATCCAGCCATCTTGGGCTTACTGTTTACATGGTGTATCTTTTACTATGATTTACTTTCAACATAATGTGTATTTTCATATTTAAAGTTCGTCTCTTGTAGAGATATTATATCTCTTCTGAGAATTTTCAACTTCTAAGTGTAGCGCTTCTTTTATATTTAATCCAATCATTGATATATTTAGATTGTGACCAACCTTTTTTATTAGTGTTTTTTTGTTTGGGTGCCATTTGCTCTTCCTCCTCCTCTTCCACCTCCTTCTCCTCTTTTTTTTCTCCCCCTTCTCCTGCTTCTCCTTCTCCTCCTTCTCCTTCCTTTCTCTGCTTTTGCTTCCCTTAATTTATTTTGATTTAATTGAACCTTTTTGAGAATTCTTTTTATGAATTTTGGTTTTTTATTTATACCATTTTATATTATTTCAAGTGGCTGCTCTAGAAATACCACAAACTTCCTTAATCTTTCATAGTTTATTTAGATTTAATATTAGACTACTTCATGTAAAGTATAAATATATTTCACAAAATAATGATTTATTTAGTCTTCTTTTTTTAGTTGCTAAAAGTATTTTATCTAAAAATGCCATCAATCCCATAATATGGTGGGAAATAGAAATTTTACTTTACTCATATTTACTTATAATAAACAAAGAGAAATAAATCATTTTATATTTATCCATATATTTATTATTTTTCACATTTCATTATTTTCTAAAGATTCGTATGTCCTTCTGGCATCATTACCTTTCCTAAAAGAAATTTCTTTGTATTTTTTTTTTTTTTGTACAGTAGGTCTGCTGATAAAAATTATCTTAATTTTCATTTATCTGATGATGGCTATTTTGCCTTCATTCTCCAATATAATTTTCACATTGAATTCACTTTTTCCTTCTCTCATCATTTTAGAAATGCTATTCCCCCATCTTCTTGTGTCTATTGTTTTTGACAATTTATATAATTCTGACAATTTATATAATTCCATTTAATCTGTGGTTAACTTGTCATTGCTTTCAAAAGTTACTCTTTTTCTGTAGTTTCAGCAATACTCTGATGTGGCTAAATGTGGTTGTCTTTGTATTTTCCTGTTTGAAGCTCACTGAATTTCTTATATCTATAAATGCATGCCTTTCACCAAATTTGGGAACATTTTTATAACCATTATTTCCTCAACTATGTTTTCTCTCTCTTCCCTTCTTCTGAGACTACAAATACATATATATTAGAGCTTTCCACAATTTTCCTGTTACCTACAGATATAGTTTATTCTTTTCCAATCTTTCCTGTTGGCTCTTTAGCTAGGATAGTTTCTATTGTTCTATATTCAATTCCTTTTGCCTTTTCTCACTTCAATTTGCTGTTAAAACAGCTTTTGAATTTTTAATTTCAAATATTATATTTTCCTCTTTTTGTATTTTCACTTGGTTCTCTTTCATAGGTTTGACTATTCTACTAAGATTTTGTTCATTCATTATGAGAATGTTTGGCTTTAAATAATTGAAGTGATTATAAAGGTATTTTAAAATTCTTATATGATAATTCCAACATCTCAGGGTCTTTATTTATTTGTCTTTGACTTGAGTACAGGCAACATTTTCCTGTTTCTTTACAAACCTACTAATTTTAGATCTCTTGGACATTGTTAATGACTCATTGCAGGAATACTGGGTTCTGTTATATCCTCCTGAAGATTAAGTTTCCTTTGGATGCTTTTGTTTTTTAGCAGACAGTTAATTTGACTTCAGTTCAAACTCCAATTTTGTTTTTCCTTTAATAGAACAGCTAAAAGCTCAGTTCAATAATTTTGGACTCCATGACCTACTTGGAGTCCTCCCCAGGCATATAGAGTAGAACCACCAGAAATTTTGGCCAAGTTTATATGCAGAATTCCTATCTCCCCACGTGTTCTTTACTTTCACTTTTTCAGTTTCCTTCCTCTCTTCCCAGCTTCCATGGCAAATTCTGTCCTGTGGCTCTGCAAACTGGTAAGACTGGATTTCTCTTAGAATTTTATCCACCAAGCTAGATATGACAAGAGTCTGCCCTCAGTCAAAATGCTATATCAAATCAGAAAAATTATGCTGAGCCATTTCCTTCTTTCAAGTGTAAATTTGCTTCCAGTTTCTTTCAGTTCCTCTAAATGCCTTCAAATTCTTGTATTTTACATTTTGTATAGAGTTTGTATCTATTATATGAGAGTGAGTTGACCAGATAGAAGCTGCTTATCCATTACTAGAAACCTATGTACCTTAAGTTCTTATTTACCAAAAGAATAGTGTTTATTATTTTCCCCGGTAATTCCATGTAGTGGTTGTGTGGTATTTACAGTAAGTAAATTTTTCCTTACTCTACCACTGTTAAATTTTTATTTACTGATTTATTCACCACATATTTCTGAGGATCTTTTCTTCTAGCCATTGTAGTCATTAAAGATACAGTTTCTGCTTTCACTAAGCTCAGAGTCTTGTGTTACACTGTAAATTATAGTAGTTGCTAGCCACATGTGGCTATTTAAAATTGAATTTAAATTAAATAAAAATAAATAAGTTTCTCAGTCATCCTAGATATATTTCAAGTACTAGATGAGTAGCATGTGTAGGTAGTGGCTATCAGGGGATAGCACACATGGATAGAACATGATCCATTATCTAAAACATTCCAATGTAATGTGTTTGTATAGGAGGAGATAAATATGAAAATGTATCACTAAAATGTAGTAACAAAACATATGAAAAATATAGTTATATGCAAGTTATGGCACCTCCATGGAAGTGATAGTATTTACTGATATTATAAAGATTCAAATGGGAAATGATATTTGAGTTGAATTGTTAATGATTAGAAAGATTTGATCAGCCATGGTAAAGGGGTATAAACAACATGTCAATAATCTAACTTAGAACAGATCAGGGACTACAAGAAAATCCTCTCATATTGCTATTTTAGGCAGCTGGACCAATAGCAGAATCACTCACTGAATTGGGTCCACAGAACGAGCAACATTTTATGAGGAAGTAATGAGCTTGTTCAGGCTATCTTGAATTTGAGACACCGGTTAGACACATGAGGAAGCTGGGTATATAAATTCTTAAGTTTACAAAAGGGAAATTTGAGCTTCAAATGCAGTTTTATGGCATAATATATTTTAGGTGGTCTGTAAATTTGTTAGCAAGTTTGCCCTGGGAATGTAGAGTGAGAAACGAAAGATACTAACACAATCTTGACTGTTTAATATATGTAATATATCTGCACATTTGGAAATAAATACAATTAAAATTGTGCTTTAATATTGCAGATATCTGGATTTCGATCCTTCCTCTACTATTTGCTGTGTGATCTTTAGCAAATTACTTAATTTCTCTAAACTTCATTTCTCATCCTTGAAAAGGAAAATAGGCCTACTTCACAAAAATTTGAGACTTAAACAAGAAACTGGAGTGCCAAGCATAAGATATGTCTCTAGTAAATACAACCTAGTCAATATTGTTATTACCGAGGTTACTGCCATCTTATTAGCCTTCATAATAAGCCTGCTCTTCTTCATATAACTGAAAGTATTATGACTTGCCTAAGGCTTCAAGGTGACAAGTGGGTGATCCAGAGTTGGCCAGGATCCAGGTGTTCTGATTTCTTTCCAAGACTCCTTTTATAAAATCCTGAATTAGTTTCTTATATAAATTTGAAACATGTACTTAGCTAATTATATTCAAAAGATTATATATATTCTTTGTTGTGATTTAAAGACAAGCAACTCCAGGCATGACTTCAAAGCAACTGCACAATTAAATGTCAATATGTGTAGCCTCTCTTTTGCCAAGATATTTAGTGGTATAGATATAATATCTGCCTTTCAACATATTTGATTACCCACTGTTTTTAGACAACTGAAAATAATAAATCTCAGATGTCAGAATATCAGCTACAAGCTATAAATATGTTCTTCTGCATTAACTTTGGACAAGTAACCTATATTTGCTTTTGAAATATCTTGCTAAAACTGAAGGCCTCACTACATAACTACAGTGGGAGTAACCTGTGCCACCCACCACCCACTAATTTCAAAGAGTAGTTGATAAATGATGAAAAGAGACTTATATCTCTGTAAAGAGTTACAAGAACATAATGATGTATTAGCATTCCAACTGCTGCCTTTGGTTTCCTTTTATGTCTTCACATTTCTTGTCATAACTCCCTTAGCTGATGACTTGGTAGAAGCAATAAGCAAATCTTAGCTTTAAAATTATTCATTTCCCTTATTTAAAGTTCCAGGCTATTTGTTCAAATATCATTGCATTTATTTAGCAAAATTATTGGTACACTTTTATATACCAAATAATTTTTATAACTGTATATGCCACTGTACTGGGGACCTTTGAAATGTTACTGGAAACCTTTGTAGTAGGCTCCAGTTTCCTACTCAGTGGACGATGCGGGCCTGAGGAAAAAAACCTAAAAGACAGAACTAAGAGAGACAAAAAGTGGGGTGCCAGGATGACCAATACCAGTGCAACCAACAAAGGCTCTGGCCAGTCCAAGCCACTGATTTTTATTAGTAGTCAGTTGGGGTAAAGGCAGAAATACATGTGAGGATGTGCAGTCATGAAGTTTCTATAGAAATTAATGTTAGCAAGGCTCAAGGCTCGTAAAAGACAAGACAAAGCTTGAATTAGGAACAGAGTAGACAAAATATATGGTTGTAATTAGAACATTGTCCTCCTAGTAAGATTTTAATTGTGGGAATGCAATTTGGTTGTGAGTTATTCTGATCTTCAGCCAGATTCAGTTTTATAAAAAAGCCAAATGTGGGGTTAACTCTTTACAGCCCACCCTGCTTACAGCCTGCTTTGGGCATAATCAATACTGCCATCTCCTGCACCACTGGGGATCCAAGACTGAAAATACATAGTATCTTTCTTCAATGAGTTTATAGCCTAGTAAATATATTCTACAGAGACATGATTATAACAGTTTTCTAATAAACCAATGTCAAAGCTGTATGTTTAGAGCACCCAAAGTAGTCTTTTAAAAAAAGGCTAAATTATTAGAAGTATGTAAATTTTTAAGAACATTAAACTGGACCCACAATTATGCATTTTGAGGTATATAAATTCTACCTAAGAATATAAAGAGATGTTGAACTATAGTTAGTAGGTTTGCTTTTCCTGGGGTATGGGTTGGCAACTCTGAGATATTCTTCTATGAATTCTAGATGTGATGTTTATGTATCATGTAGGTACGTGCGTGTGGTGCAGAGTATGAGAGTCAAGTTTCCCACTGCTGAGAAAAGAGTTGCATATAGAAATGTGTGAAGTGGCTACATACCATGTGGTATTTGATTGGATTGGGAAATGTTAGCATAAACTTATGGTTTTTAGTAGTAGAATTTTCTCTACTTTTTTGTTTTCCAGCAAACATAATTTCTACCATAACAAAATATTGCAGATAAATTGCAAAATTATAACTTTTGAATCTGTTAGAGGAGTAAGTTAGCACAATCAAGAAGCTTGAAATTTAAAGTAAGATTGCCCTTGTGAGGATGCAAGCATTGTCATACTTGAGTCAAAGAATGAAAGAAATAGAAAGTAGATGCCATATATGCAGAATCAGAAGAGAGAAAGTTTGGAATACTAAAATTATTGGAACAGCTAACCAAATATAATAAAATACATATCCAAAAAGTATAGGTAATCCCAAGCAGGATAAATATGAGAAAAACCCCATCTACACAAATAATATTCAAATTACTGGGAACCAAACAAAAAGAGAAAATTTTGAAGGCACCTCTAATAAGAATTATGGTAGATTTCTCTTTAGAATTATTGCAACTCAGAAAAAAAGTGACATCTATAAAACACTGAAGGAAAAACAAACATTCCAATCTATAATTCTGTATCTTTCAAAAATAAAAAAATGAAAGAATAATCATTAGCAGGCCTACCCTAAAGAAAAGTTAGATAAGTACATTAGCAGAAGTAACATGAAACTAGAAGCTCAGTAATTTGCAAAGAATGAAAATTACAGAAATACTAAACAGATGGAATCTAAATATTTTAAAATTTATAATTGTGTAAAATATCATTGGATGACAAAAACAAATGTAGTAGCCAAGTAATATGTGTTTATAGAGTATTCGAAATTAAAATTTATGAAAAGATTACAAAAGATAAGAAGGAAGACTTGGGAATATATAGTTATGAAATTGAGATCTTTAAATAGCACATAAAGTAATTTAAAGGTAAAGTGAATACTTAAACATATAAATTAGTATACCCAGGGTATCCATTAAAAAGTTATAGTAGAAACCAGGCCTGGTGGCACATGCCTATAATCCCAGCATTCTGAGAGGCCAAGACAGCAGGATTGCAAATTCAAGCCCAGTCTGGGCAACTGGGTGACTTAGTGAGATCCTGGCTCAAAATGAAAATTAAATTAATAGAAAGGTCTGAGGACGTAGCTCAGTACAAAGGCCCTGGGTTCAATCCCCACTACTTAAGAAAAAACAAGTTGTAATAGATATATTTAAAATAAGCAGTAGTAGAGATAAAATTAAATCATAGCAACCCTTCATTAATGAAAACAACAGAAGGGAAAAACTAAACAGAATAAATATAAAACAAATAGTACAATAGTGGATTTAAATCACACTGTATCAATAATAACATTGGATTACCACATTATCATCTTTTCTTTTAGAAAGTAAGACCAATGCTTACTTGATAGGGAGAGACCATGACCAGGAAGGTGGTTTTTTAAAGCAAGCCTTGTCCATTGTGCTGCTGCTGTGCCAACTCCTGTGATTTTCTAGTTGTGGGAGAACCCATGGTGGATTCTGGACTGTTAGAGATCATGTGCTCTTGCTCTTTCCTGGAGTTAAAAATAAAAAGCAAGGTCACTATATGCTGTCTACAAAATAACCCCTCTATGAATATTAAAGCAGAAATATGTTAAAATAATAAAAGAGGACAATATAATGATAAAGGGAGAA